GATAGACAGAAGATCAACCCCAAATAATAAAAACGTAGCTTATTACAGTCTCCCAACTTAATACGTGACTGGGCCATTCAACCCCTTTGGGATTCGATAGCTGACTGACAAGCTTCAGCACAGTCTACTTGCTTCTGATTGGCTCATTTAGACTCGCCGAGCAAGGGTTCCCATGGATTATTCCTAAAACTCCATTATGCTTTTGAAAGCCATTTCATTTTAAGATGGTTTAAATACATCCTTCTTATCATTTTTAACCATGCCCACAAAAAGCATCCTAAAGATATTTGATCATTCAATTAAACTAAATGAGGCCAATGTATACGCTACTGCCTCAGAGGTTATCATGCTTAATAAAACATACTTTATAAACCCCATGAAGGCTGTAATTAAATTTATAAGCAGCCCTCCCCACAACTTTAACAAAAGATGTCTGAATGTTGTGTGTGTGCGTGTGTGTGTGTATGTGTTTGCATGTGTTTTAAAGTCCCGTTCCATAAGGATTATAGCTCCCCTGCTGTTTGGAAAAGATAATTTCACTTGTAACACTAATAACTTGAGCAGGGGAGAAGCTGGCCTGGTGAATGGAATGCACTTCACTGCACATCTTGGCTCAGCTAGAAATCGGAAACAGATGGTCCTTGCGGCTGGTTTCCCACTCGAGCCCGCTCACTGCCAGCCTGTGGTCTTCAGTGGGCTGCTGCTGGCAGTCTGTGACTTGAACATAGTAGGACAGTGGCAAAAGAAATCAAATCTTTTCCAATGAGCAGCAAGTTATAATGAAATTTGACAGATCTGACATTCTATACCCAACATCTAGTTAGAATATATTAACCTTTTAGTTTTCTTAAGCGCCTTGCATAGAAGTTGTGAATATACTTATTAGAGGGTTGTGTTGTATGTGTTTTTTTCCCTTTTTTTCTTTTTAAACAGGGGGCAGAGGGTTTAGTCCAAACTTAAGTGGCAGCCGGTTAACAGAAAATGCAGAGAAAGTAAAAAGTCAAAGAATTTCTAAATGGAAACAAGGTACAATAACTGGCACCAAGAAGAAAACTAATTATTTCCAGGGCATGGTGGATGAGTTTCTACTGAAAAATTGTCAGTATTTTTCTCGAGAAAAGAATACATATATATATATATA